CCGGCAAGGGGGGCCGGGCGGGGGGAGAATCGGGGGGGTCAGAGGGGTTGGGGGTGCTGAGCCAGGGGGCCGTGCACCCGCCCTGCCCCTGTGCCCGTGGGGTGGGGGGGAGGGATCGATTGAGACCCCCGTGTCACCGCAGCCCCCCCGCCCCCTGTACCTCCCAGGTCTCCTACGACGTGGAGGGCTTCTGCGAGCGCAACCGGGATGTGCTGTTCAGCGACCTCATCGAGCTGATGCAGAGCAGCGAGCTGTGAGTGCCCGGGGGGCCGGACGCCAGGGTTGTGCCCCCAGCTCTGGGGCGGAGGGGTCGAGCCGGGAGGGGCAGGGAGCCCGGACATGCGGGGAGCCGCGCTGAGGCCCAGCAAACTCAGCCCGTGCCAAGGCCTGTCCCTGATATCTCCTCCCTGCAGCCCCTTCATCCGAGACCTGTTCCCCGAGAACGTCCACACGGAGAAGAAGGGCCGACCCACCACGGCTGGCAGCAAGATCAAGGTACCCGGGGGCAGGGACCATGCAGGGGTCTCTGCTTGGCCTCCAGCTGGTCTCCTCCAGCCCAGGGGGCTGCGAGGGGGTGATGGGCTAGCAGCAAGCACCCTGCCCCTCTCCGCCTTCCTCCCCAGGCCTGTTGGGAGCCTGCCCAGACCTCAGCCCAAGCCTGATCTGGAGCTGACCCCCCTCAACCCTCCCAAATCTCTGCTGGGTCTTACTTGGTGCCCCCCAGTCATCCTGCAACTGCAGGCGGCCTCCTCTCTGCTCCCGTTGCTTTGCTGTGTCCAGCTGCGCTGCGCTTCCCCCCCAGCACCAGCTGCATGTCGCTGTTCCTGCTTATTAGAGATGCTTGTGTTTGGTGGGAGGGGGCTGCGGGGAGGGGGATCCCACCGCAGGGATGCACCCAGGGGTGTGCCAGGGGGAGCTGAGCAGCGCCGGTGCCTTGCAGAGACAGGCCAATGACCTGGTGACCCGGCTGATGTGCTGCACGCCCCACTACATCCGCTGCATCAAGCCCAACGAGACCAAGCGGCCCCGCGACTGGGAGGAGAGCAGGTGGGGCTGGCCCCTTGCCTGTGTCCCCCACCCCATCTGGCCCTGGGCTCCAGGCCTCGTCATGGGCACCCGGAGCCCTGTGCACTCCTGTTGTGGGCTGAGGGTGCCTGGCGCTGTGCTCACTGCCCCCCGCCCGTCTGCAGGGTGAAGCACCAGGTCGAGTACCTGGGCCTGCGGGAGAACATCCGTGTGCGCCGCGCCGGCTACACCTACCGGAGACCCTTCCACAAGTTCCTGCAGAGGTGGGAGCGCGGGGGGCGGGGGTGTGGTGCCCCACGGCTCCATCCCTGGGATCTCCCAGCAAGCGGTGGAGCCAGATCCGAGGCCCAAGGGCTGCCCGGCAAGGGACCCGTGCCCCATCTGGGTGCTGCCAGGCGAGGGATCCCCACCCTGTGTGGGCCTGCCGGGCTGGCCCCACCTGGCAGGAGCCTGGACTTGGAGCAATGGGCCCAGAGGTGTCTGGCAACGGCTCCAGGCCTCTGAGCATTGTGGTTGCCCTTCTCAGCACATTGTTGGGGTCCGGGGTCAGGGACTCTGTCCTGGCGTTTGGCCTCCTCTCAGTGGTGGGGGGGGTTCCTGGGCCCCGTGGTGCCGCACAGACCCTGACCAGGCTGGAACTGCCCCCGTGGGGCTTGGGACGGGGAGGCAGGGCAGGTGCCTGCTGGGAGACACCCCTCAGTCCTTCGCCCCCCAGGTACGCGATCCTGACCCCTGAGACATGGCCAGCATGGCGGGGCGAGGAGCGCCAGGGAGTGCTGCACCTGCTGCAGGCCGTGAACGTGGACCCTGGGCAGTTCGAGCTGGGCTGCAGCAAGGTCTTCATCAAGGCCCCTGAGTCAGTGAGTCAGAGGGCTCTGGGTGCGGGGTGGGAAGCTGGGACCTGTGCCTGGGGGTGGGAAGGGATCCAGCACCTGGCTGGGGGAGGGTGCCAGTCCCTGGAGCCAAGGGAAGGGGCCGTGAGCAGAGCCGCAGCCCCTCACCGGGTGCCCCCCCAGCTGTTCCTGCTGGAGGAGATGCGGGAGCGGCACTACGATGGCTTCGCCCGCATCATCCAGCGAGCCTGGCGCCGGCACGCGGCCGCCCGCACCCATGTCCGCCTGCGCGAGGAAGGTGGGTCCTCCCCCCACTCCCCCAGCAGTGCCTGGGGCTTGGCTGTACGGACCTGGAATGACGCAGCCGCCCCTGCCCCCGCTGGGATCTACCCCTGCCCTGGCGCCAGGTGCTGTACGGGCCTGGGGGAGCTCCTCCTGCCCATGTTCCCACTGGGAAACTGAGGCACAGAGACAGCGGGAGAGTCCCCTGCACCTACTCCTGCTCCTGGGGGGACTTGCACCTGGGCCCCAGCCCCGCAGAGGCTGCTCTCGTCCCCCCTGCCATGGCGGGGGCAGGGATTCCAACCCCCCCTGCCCGCAGCCTCCAACCTGGTGCTGCACCGCAAGGAGCGCCGGCGCCACAGCCTCAACCGTGCCTTCGCCGGCGACTACTTGGGCCTGGATGCCCGCCCCGAGCTGCGGCGCTTCCTGGGCCGGCGCGAGCGCGCCGACTTTGCCGCTACCGTCACCAAGTACGACCGGCGCTTCAAGGTACCGACCGCGGCCCCTCGGCCCCCGCAGGCCTGCCCTCCCCTCTCATCCTGCCCCTGCCCCTCACCCTTGCCCTGCTCTTGCCCCTGTTCTCCCCGACTCTCCCCTGGCTCCGCTCACGTGCGTGCCCCATGCCCGCAGGCGGTGAAGCGGGACCTGGTGCTGACTCCGCGGTGCCTCTACCTGATCGGGCGGGAGCGGGTGCGGCAGGGCCCCGACAAGGGCGCCGTCCGCGAGGTGCTCAAGCGCCGCATCGAGCTCGAGCATGTCCAGGCTGTGTCGCTCAGGTGCAAGGGGGGGACCAGTGGGGCAGGGGTTGTGGGGCAGCCTGATCCACCACTTGCCTTGACCGTTGCTGGTGAGGCACTGGCACGACACCCCCGGGGGTATCTCCACCTGGTGCTGGAGCTGGGCTGGGGGAGGCCGGTGCGAGATGGACCCCCCAGCCCCCAGGTCTGTCTGTTTGGCAGGGTTGGTTCATAGCATCGCAGAGCCGTGGGGCTGGAAGGGAGCTCCAGGGGTCCCGTCTAGTCCAGCCCCTGTCTGAGGCAGGATCAGGCCTGTCCAAACCTTCCCAGGCAAATTAATCAAGTGTTCTCATAGCAAAACTACTGTCAGCCCTGACATAAGACATCACACCCGGACTTGCCCCAGGGAAAGCCGGGGGACCGCGGCAGCCAACGTCCTGCTGCTGCAAAGGTTGTTAACAGATGCTCAAGAGATCCCAGGCCAGGGCCATGCCCCTGCTACAGAGAAAGGCAAAACCCCCCAGTCTGGACCAGTCTGAGCAAGGGAAAAAATTCCTTCCTGACCCCAATGCAGCGTCGGTCTGACTCTGAGCACGGGGGCAAGACCCGCTAGCCAGGAACTGCCAGGCTTGGTGCCCGCAGGAGCACTGGCACAGCCCGGTCCCCATCCCCAGCGTGGGCTGCAGCCAACAGACTTAGAAACCCCCAAACCCATGGGCCCCGGCACTCAGGGCCTCTCCTCAGTGCCTTTTCTGCAGGCTGGGAATGCCCGGCGCCCTCCGTGCCCGTCTGTCCAGGCTGCGGCCGTGCGGCTCCAAGCGCTGGCTGAACCCCCAGCCCTGGCTGAGGCTGTCCCTGCCCTGCAGCTCCCTGCAGGACGACTTCGTGGTGGTGCACACGGCGCAGTACGACAGCCTGCTGGAGACCGTGCTCAAGACAGAGCTGCTGAGCCTGCTGAGCCGGCGCTGCGAGGAGCGGGCTGCCCGGCCGCTGCCCCTCAACTTCAGCAACCAGTGAGTCGGGGAGGGGGCAGGACACCTGGGTCCCCTCCCAGCTTTGGGAAGGGTTGGAGAGGGTCTTTGTGTGGCTGGACCCCGGGTGCTGCAGTGGTAGGTGCTGTGCGACCCGAGCCTGGGGGTGGGCTCCTGGGTTCTCTGCCCCAGCCCAGGGAGGGGCCGGCGGGGGTCCTAGTGAAATGGGTGGCAGGAGAGGGTTGGAGCCAGGACACCTGGGTTCGTTTAACCCTCAGCTTCAGGCTGGATGGGGTCTTGGGTAGGGGGTGAGGGTGGGATCCCAGACTCCTGGGCTCTTTTAATCCCACCTCCAGCTGCAGAAGTGGCTGGATGCTGTGGTAGGTAGTGGGGGTAGGGTCCAGGACGCCTGGGTCCTTTTCAGCCTGGCAAGGGGATGGCGGGGAGGGGTCATAGGTAAAGTGGGCTGGGAGCCAGGATGCCTGGGTTCTCGTCCCAGATCTTGCGGGGGAGCTGGGATGTGGGGGTGGCAGCATCTGGCTCCCCCAACTCCTGCCACGTGCTCTGCGCTCGGTGCTGTATGTGCCTTCATGGCTCTGCCCTGGCCCCTGCCCCACCCCTGGGGTCTGGGCCCCCCATGGAGCCACACGCTGGGGTGGGGGGCATCCGGCTGCCCCCACGTGCTCCTGCTGTCCCCGCAGGCTGGAGTTCAAGGTGAAGAAGGACGGCTGGGGGCCCTGGGGCACGGCCGGCTCCCGCCACATCCACTTCCAGCTGGGCCAGGGCGAGCGGGCGCTGCTGCGAGCCGTGGGCAAGGTGCTGACGGTCAGCATCGGGCCCGGGCTGCCCCGAAACTCCCGTGAGTGCAGGGAGGCGAGGGCTGCAGAGGGAGGGCTGGGCACTGGCCACCTTCTGCCCAGCCCGGAGGGCGCACAAAGCTGCCGAGTCTCCCCCAGGCCGGCTGGCGGGGATGGAGGTTGGAGGCTGCTCTGACCCCCCCCCCGGGGCCCACCGCAGGGCCCACCCGCAAGGACCCGTGGTCAAGCTGCTTCCCAGGCCTCGGTGACCCCAGCACCAGCTACCGCCTGGCGGCAGGTACCAGCTGCACCCACTGCAGTGGAGGGGGTGGGGGGGCTGGGCCTTGTCAGGAGGGTCTCAGGTCTGTAAGGGCTAAGGGCGGGCACCTCGGTTCTTTCCCCCTGGTTCCCTCACCCCCGACTCCCCTCCTCTCCGCAGGCAGGGAGTGGCCGCTGGGGGGACCCGGACCCCTGGGGACGCCCCGGCAGCGCCTGTCGCTGGCCCGCCAGAGCAGCATGGAGCAGCCGGTGCTACCACACCAAGGAGCTGGCCCCCGCGCCCGGGCCTGCCCTGCCCAGCTGGACCTGCACTTCATGGATGTGCCCGACCAGGGTGTGGCCGGGTAAGGGCGAGGGGTACTGCCCCGATGCCACCTGCATTGCCCTCCCAAGCCCAGGCCCCCCCACGTCTCGGGGGCCCTGGATCTGGCCCATGGTGCTCGCCCCCCAGCCTGATTCGGTCGCCTCGCCCCCCAGGCTGCAGCGGAGGCTCTCGCAGGACACCAAGCCTGTTCCGGGCGGCGGGCGCACCAAGCCCCATCTGCAGCCGCGCCTGCCGCGGTGCCGGGCGCTGTACGCCTACGACGCCCAGGACACCGATGAGCTCAGCTTCAACACCGACGACCTCATCGAGATCGTCCGCGAGGGTGAGTGCCCGGACCCCTGGGTCCCAGCCCTGGGGTGGGCGTGGGCCAGGGGGCTAGCGGTTCACGCAGGATGCCTGTGCTCTTGCCAGCAATGGGAGAGGGAGATGGGGATGGGGAAAGGGCGCCTAGTGGTTAACAAAGAAGGGGGGACACCTGGTTTCTAGTCCGAGCTGGGAGAAGTGGGGGGTGTTGTGTGGGCGCCGGATGCCTGGGCTCTGTACCCAGCAAGGGCCTCCCCAGGCAGGGTAGGGAGGGCAGCAGGGGCAGAGTAGGGCACCTCCGCCCTGACGGTTTTGCCCCGCAGACCCGTCGGGCTGGTGGCATGGCTGCCTCCGTGGCAAGGAGGGCCTGTTCCCGGGGAACTACGTGGAGAAGCTCTGACGGACGGGGCTGCAGGCGCAGACACGGCCCTGGGTCCCCACGCAGCCTCCCACCTCCAGGGACTCGGGCAGGACCGCCCCCCCTGCCTCTTCCTCTCTCGGCACCGGGTGCAGTGAGCATGTTCCTGGGCAGGCAGCAACGGGGAGCTGGACGTGCCCAGGCACCGCGGGCCCCTCCCTGCTCAGGAAGCCGCCGGCGGCGCGGGCATGAGACCACATAGCTGCTGAGCACCCCTGTCCCCCTGCCGCATTGCTAGCGGCCACAGGGTTTGTCCTTGGGTCCAGCCCTGCATCCAGGGGCTGTGAGCATGGACCCGAGCCCGGCCCCACGTGGTTTAGAAAGGCTGTGGGGAGCATGGAGATGCTGCGCTGGCAGGGCCCAGATTGGGGGGGGGTCCCATCCAGCCCAACCCAGCCCAGCCCAGCCCAGCCCCTGCTGCAGGCAGGATCAGCTCTGTCTGAATCAGCCACGTGCTTGTCTAGTCTGGACCTGCAGGCCCCGCGCTCCCACCCACACGCACGTGCACCCAGCCCAGGTCCAGGGTCGTACAGCTGCCAGGAGCGGGTTCATGCTCCAGTCCAAGGTGGGGGCATCAGTCTTGCCTCTGGGGATGGTTCAAAGGCTGGGCCGGCAGCAATCACAGGGGCTCTGGGCTGGAAGGGACCCCACATGCTCCCCCTGTCCAAGCAGGATCAGGCCTTACTGCAGCACCCCGGGTTGCCGCTGTCTCCCCGGCCCCATAGGGGCAGCAGGGGTGGGACCAACCCTGTTCTGGTCATGGGTCCTGGATGAGCCTCGGGGGTGGATGCGATGCTGGGTAGGGTTCGCCTCCTGCAAGGAGCCAGGGCAAGGCGGGGGCACCCCCAGTGTGGGGGGTGTTGGAACAGCAGCGAGGGGCCAGCACCTGCCCCCGTGCACGCGGGGGAAGCAGGTCGGGGGCTGGCGGATGCTGCAGCCTCAGGTGCAGCTGGACACGGAGCTGCTTGGGATCCAGCCCTGCCAGCCTGCTCGTCAGCAGCGTGGGCCTTCGCCACCTTCCCCTTCCACGAGCTCAGGTCCTGGGGGTTTCCCTCCCAAGCAGGGGGCTCCCTGCAGTTGTGGCACTGGGTAAATCCTACCTCCTCCCCGACAGGCCAGCTCCCAGTGCCCCCCACCCCCAACTGCCCCTCTGAAGTAGCTGGGCCAGGCTCCTGGGGCGCCTCCACTGCAGCCCACATCTCCCACCCAGCACATGACTGTGGCTTAGGGAGAGGCGAGGAGGGGCTCAAAGGAACCAGAACCAAAATGAGCCTTGGTTATGCAGCCATATGCCCACCCCAGCCCCCAAAACATGATGCAGCCACCAGTTCTTGGCTTCCTGCTAAACTGGGGCCATCCTTCAATCCACAGTGCGGTGGGGCTGGAAAGGAGCTGCAGGGGTCACATCTAGTGCAAGCCCCTGCCCGAGGCTGGATCAGCCCTGCCCAAACCAGCCCAGACCCACTCATCACTTAAACCCTACATGAAACCACTGTCAGCCCCGACACACCAGACATCACCCCCAAACCTGCCCCAGGGCAGCAGGGGAAGCCCGGCAGCTACCGTCCTGCTGCAGGAAAGGTTAATACGTGCTGAAGACATCCCAGGCAGAGCCCGTGCCCTGGATCTAGAATGAGGCAACCCTCAAAATCTGAGCATGGGGGAAATTTCCTTCCCGACCCCAATGCAGGTCAGACCCAAGGGGCAAGACCCTTAAACCAGGAACCACTGGGGTCCAGTGCTGAACCCCCCACTCAGGTACCAGCAGGGCAAGGGCCATGCCCGCCCCTGGCTCCTCGCCCCCTCAGGCCTCCATGACCAGTGCAGATCGCAGAAGCAGTATAAAAGGTTACCTGGAGTGGACAACAACCCCCCTGTCCCAGGTCTCACTACCGGCCTCGTGCCCGCCGGCTCCAGCGCCACCCACAGCAAGGGCGCAAACCTGGCTGGCACCGGGAAGCAAGGGGCCGAGGAAGCAACACAACGCACAGCGGGAATGAAACCACTAGAAGTTTTAATCGCATTATTACTACAAGAATAAGGAATACCTGAGAGCCTGTTGCAGTGCCCATACTTTTAATGTAGCATAATCAGTTCACAACCCTCCCGCCCGCATCCCACCCTCTAAAAACAAGTATACAGATTCCCCACTCTTTTTTTTTTTGTTCTTTTTTAAATTCTTTTAAAACACAAGTCGTTCTAAAGGCACTGAAGTGCTTGGAGAGGGTCTGGGACAAAATCCGATTACAAAGCCGTTGGTTTTGAGTTGCCTTTTTTTCTCCTTTCTCCTAAAACTGGTAGAAACTTTAGGTTCTTCTATATTATTACACATCATTTACACATTCACAGCCCCAAGCTAATACATTAAAAAAAAAAAAATATATGGGGGTAAGGATGGGAGACAACAATTACGGAGGGAGGTGGAAATCAGACATGTAGTTACCTTGCATTTCAGCTGGGTTAGAGTCCTGGTAGTGTAACTAAAATGGGACAGTCCTTACTGATGGGGAAGGCGAGCGGGACGAAAGCGTCAGGTTCCCGTTACAGTGAGAGGTGGCAGGGGGAGATTTATTTAAAGCCTCGGATGCTACGGTGCAAACGTTCACTCAAACCCTGGTTTGCTGGGAATTAAGGGAGACGAGCAAAAGTAAAAGCCAGTGCTGTTTGTTCCTCGTGGCCACGCGGCCGCCGGCAGGGGGGTGGGAGAAAACACAGGAGAGGAGGAAAAAAAGAAAAGAAAAAATTGCTCTTCTAAAAGGGGGGAAAAAATATATTAAAAAGCAAACAAACAAACAAACAAAAAAAATCACACCAGTAATTTTTTCTTTTCTTAGTGTATGTTACAGATCTTTACAGCGGGTTAGTTGTTCACAAGAAAATTTAAGAGAGGAGCCCCACGTTCAGTTACCGAAGTCATAATCACTCGCACGAACACCCGAACCGAAACACAGAAGCCAAAAGATTTAAAAAAAACAAAACAAAAAAACAAACAAACCAAAAACAAATGAAAAAACAACCCCCCCAAACTGAACCGATAGAAAAGTTTCCCCAAGCATGATTGAGGGACCCGGCGCCGTCCCTGTCCTGCCTGGCTTCACGTGCCCGCCAGGGCAGTTCAGATGCTCCCGAACCCTGTACGTGATCGTGGCGGGGGCTCGGACCGGGAGGCGGGTGAGGGGCGGGTGCCAGCTCACTGCAGCGAGCACTCTGCAGGCATCGTGGTGCCCGCAACCATGATTCAAGTGTGTTGGTGCCCCCGGGACAGCTGCCCTGATCGGGGCCCCAGGGGCGGGGGGTGGAATAAGGATGCTTAGCTCACTCTAAGCACCAGGGTCAACATAATTCACGACAGTGGGTTTTCTTCCTGTGGCCCGCGCGCACAGCTGGGGTCAGATGCATGCTGGGTCCAGGCTCTCGTAGCACCCCCAGATTCAAGATCGGAGCTCTTGGCCCCCAGCCTCCCCCTTTGCTGGGGTGGAGAAGCAGCACTGCATCCTGCCCACTTGCCCCAGGGCCAGGCTGCGAGGACAGGGGAGAAGGAAAAGGGACAGCTGATCCCATTGCACACCCGCAGTTCAGGAGGGAAGCCTGGACCTTCCCGGGAGAGGCAGGGAGGTGTGTACGAGAACGTGGGGGAATGTGTGTGTGCATCAGGGGAAGAACGTGGAGGTCGACAAACCCTGCGACCAAGCGTGCCTCCGTGTCTGGTGCCGTAGGGCCTGCTGGGAGCCTGTTCTTTGGAGGGGGATGAAGTTACAGAGGGGGAAAGAAAGGGATCACAGGGGGGTCGCGTCACCCCTCAAACGACGTGGGAGGCTCTCTGGGCAGGTGAGGCCGAAGCCAGAGCCCAGCTTGCTCCGCACACACCAACCTGGCCCCACGGCTGCTTCTCTCCCTGCCCTGCCTCTCACTAGAGGGTCTAGTCTCACAGGCGAGCCAGCTTGGGTAGCCCACAGGAGAGCCCTCTGCGCAGCCCCAGGCAGGCTGACATCAGCTCACCGGGAGCCAGTGTGACGGAGAGGATCGGGGCGAAGGGATCAGAGCTGTGCACGGGCTGCGAGACCCCAGCTGGGTGCCATTCCAGGACCCCAGCAATGTTCTTCCCATGCTGGAGCAGGAGCGCAGTACAGCTACCTCCAGCTACTGCCGAGGCCTTGGCTGCTCTGGCCCAGTCCGAACACGACCGACTCCCAAAGAGCTGGAGCACACCAGCAACCTTTGGGCTGGTGCTGGGCATGGCTGGCCCCATTGCTGCCTGGCGTCCCCTCTGCACAGTAGGTCCCTGTCATGCATGGGTGCAGCCCTACTGGACAATACAGGGCCCCCCACCCTGCCCAGCCGCTGCCCCTCAAAGCCTGGGGGCTCTGGGATGCCCTGGCCAGCATCGGACGAGGCTCATAAATAAGGATCCCTCTTCTCTTCACAGCTTGTGCCGGGGGCAGGCAGGAAGCAGCCCCCGGGGCTCCTGGCCCCCTAGTTCTCGGGGCTGGTGTTCTGGCGGGCCCTGATGAAGGCCATGCCGTGTGTGCGGAAGTGTGTCTTCAGGTTGAGCTGGCTGTCGAAGCCTTTGCCGCAGACCTTGCAGGCCAGCTTGCCGTCAGGCGTGTGGGCCGTGCCCCCTTCCCCAGGGCTGCGAGGGCTGGGGACCTCCGCTTCGGCCGCCCCCTTCTTCTTCTTGTGGGTGATGAAGCGATGGCGGTTGAGGGAGACCTGCGAGGTGAAGCACAGCCCGCACTCCCGGCACTGGTGAGAGCTCTCGTCTGTCCGGTGCTGGGGGATGTGCTCCTGGAAGTCGGCTGCGCTGCTGGCCAGGTAGCCGCACTTGCGGCACCGGAAGGGGGCCCGGCGCTCACCCTTGGGAGTCTTGGATGGTGGTGTGGTGCTGTCAGGCTCCTCGCTACACGAGTCCCCGTCGTCTGATGACAGCTTCCGTTTCCTGCCAGGCCCCTGTGGGGAAGGAGTGGGGTGGGGGTGTTAACGTCTAGTGGGGTGGGAGCACCGTGAGCTCTTCCCCAGCAGGGTGGTGGGGACTGGGAGGTGCTGGGCCACCAACACTAGGCACGATGAGAAGCCGAGAGCCCCAATGTGCTCTGGACTCTGTGGTGGCTCCGTGGCCCTGGCCGGATGCCCTAGGCCCTCTGGTCACTACACACACAGGGTCCCCAAAGCCCTGCTGGGCTGTGCTAGGTCCCAGCAGAGCTGGCTGGGGACCGGGGACGTAGGGGCTAGGCCAAGCCAGCACTGTGCTGGGGCTGTGCTGATGAGGAATGCTGACAAGCCACAGTACACAGGGTCATTTTAAAGCAGGGGTATCACATTCACTTTGGGCTGGACCTGGATTTCAGGGGCTCCTCCTAGGTCGGATCCATGGGGCCAGCAGCAGCAGGGGGTTGGTGTGGGGGGCTGAGTGAGGCCTGTCTGTACAGCCCTTGCTCAGCCCCCCGCCAGTGCCGGTCATGTCCATTTGCATCCAGGGGCCCCCAATTCTGTGACAGGCCCTGCCTCTAGCCCCACCCCCACCTCTCCTGGCTACTGGTGGGAGAGTACTGGGCCCTGTTTGACAGCCCTGCTTCAACCCCTCCTGGCCTGGCTGAAGGGTATCCTGCCAGAGCAGATGGGGTCCGTGGGGCCTGGCCACATATGCCAGTCTTGCTGTACCATGACTGGGGAGCTCTGCTCTGCCCCCGTGGTGGCTGCAGGAGCAGTACAGGTCTGTTGTAGCTCCCCTCCCACCCCAGGCACAGTCGCAGCCCCTACCTGGGTGCCACCAGTGCCCACGCGGGCGATGACGACCTCCTGGCTCCGGGTCTGATCGGTCACTTTGATACCATGCCGCACCTGGATGTGCTTCTCCAGGATGAGGCGACTGCTGAAGGTGCGCTTTCCCTCTGTACAGTATCTGGGGGGCCGGGAAGAAGGGAAGTGAGGTGCCCTGTCCATCACATCTCAGCCCCCCGCCCCGGGCCTGCTGCGGGCCAATCAGTCCTGGCAGGCAGAGTCAGGACCAGGCTCTGTGTCCTGCTTCCCAGCATGGCCCATGAGCTGAGAAGAGGACCCAGGAGTCCTGCAAACCAGTCCCTCCCCCACCACACACAACGCCTATGGTTCCTGCACCCTGTACTCCCACTCTGCCCCCTGCCCGCCACAGAGCTGGTGCTGGCCCGGCTCTCCTTTGGCCCAGGGGTGCGGTACCGGCAGGGGTAGACGCGCTTGATGCCCTCGTGGTTCACGCGCACGTGTCTCCGGAGGCTGGGGGCGGAGCAGAAGGAGCGCTCGCAAAGGCGGCACGGGAACTTCTTCACTGACTGCAAGGGGCGAGAGATGCTGGTTACTGGGCCGCAGTCCACAGGGCAGTTGCCACGGCAGCTGGTGGGACCCTCTCCGGCTCTGTAGCAATGGGGAATCACCTTCCCCCCAACCCGTCCTGTGCTCTAATAGTGGTCTGGGATAGCTGGACCGAGCCACCATCTCCCTGCCCCTGCCTGGGCGGTGGCTCCAGAGCATCCAGTCAGGCAGGGAAACTGAGGCACGGAAACTGCTGCTCTCCAAGATGAAGCCGTCAGACAGAACCCAGGAAACTGGGACTCTCAGGACCCAGACCATCCCATCCTTTGGTCAGGAGCAGAATCCAAGTATCCTGCCAGCTCCTAGGAACACTGCCCTCCCCTCCGTGTGCCAGCCCTGCCTCCTCCTCACCTTCCCGTGATCCTTCTTCATGTGGGACACGTACTCATCCCTCTCGGGGAACCAGGAGTGGCAGACACCACAGGTCCAGCCGCTGCCCTTGGACTTGCTGGCCGTGTCCGTCTTGCGCTGAAAACGGCTGCGTTTGGTCTTGCGCAGCTCGGGGGAGCTGGGGGGCTCGTCGTCCTCTGAGGATGATGACGATGACTCCGACAGTTTGGAGACTGGGGCCTCAACGGGCTCCTGCTTTGGCGTGAGCAGGGTAGCCGGCTTCCGGGCCACATCTTCCTTGGCCTTCTGCAGCTGGTGAGTGTTCTGGGGAGCAAAGGGACATAGGCGTCAGCCTGCCTGGAGCTCCAGAGGCAGGGGGAACGGGTCCGACTGCACATACTGGGATGACGGTGGAAGGGAGGGGAGAGAGACCCTTGGAAGAGCCTGCCTGACCCAGCTATAGCCTGAAGCCTCAGATGCCCTTTCCCATGAAAGGGCAGATGGGCCCACACTGCACTGGGACAGGCTACCAAAGAGGTAGTAGAGTCTCCATCCTTGGTGGTTTTGAAGACCTGGCTTGAAGAAGCCTTGGCTGGGATGATCTCGCCAAGGATGGCCCTGCTTTGAGCAGGGGGTTGGACTAGATGTGACCTCCCAAGTTCCCTTCCACCCCTCATTTTCTCCGATTATAAATCAGGCTCTAATGCGCTAAGCGCTGTACGCACAACAAGGCAGCAGCAAGTGACTGCTGAAAGCGTAACCCCAGCTGGTCCTGACCCTGCATGTTTCTGGGTCAGAAGCCCATCATCTCTTAGAGGTGGGGCACTCAGATCCCAGAGTGGGTACAGACACACCAAGGGCTTGTTGGTGCTCAGATCCCAGGGCACGTGCAGATGCGCTGAGACCTGAACTTTTGCCAGGGGCTTTGCTGTTAATGGCGACAGGCAGGGAAGTGGGAACAGGGGGCTTGCTCTGGAGTTCTCTAGTTCTGGGGGAATTTACTGCTGCTGTTGATGGTTTATTGTAAGCCGCACTGAGCCTTTCTGGATATATTTTCATTTCTGTGTTTTTTATTTTAATTTTAGATTTGCGTCCCACTCTATCACACACACACTAATAAAACAACAACGGTTTTATTTGATCTATCTATGAAATAAAACCATTGTTGTTATGGACGACTACCACCCAGCCCATCTCCCCACCTTGCAATACCTCTTGTGACCAGCAAGGGGCAGACATGCTCGCCTCCCCCAAGGCAGACGGTAACCTGGAGGGGGCCAACCTTTTTGGCAGGAGTGCCACAAATTAGCCCTGTATCCTCCTCCAGTGCCACTGCGATCCCCTGCCGCTGCCTGAGATGCTGCTCTGCTTTCTGCTCCCTGCCTGTTTCTCTTCCCCTCTCTGCTGTGTTGCTTGGCCACCAGCGTCTTGCTGTCATTCACCGCAGGTCCCCTAACAGGTGGGGAAACTGAGGCACAGACAGGGGAGCAACCTGCCCAAAATCTGAGGGAGGGAGAGGCCTCTTGGGGGCAGCTGAGACCTCCTGGGCCTGCGATCGGCATCCATCTCACCTTGAGATGCTCCAGCATGGTGCGCTTCTGGGCAAAGAGCAGTGGGCAGTCGGGGCACTTGAACACGCTGACCCGCTGGTTGAGCAGGTGCTGGTCAAAGTGGGAGGACAGCAGGGGCTTGTGGGTAAAGACTGTGTCACACATGGCGCATTTGTAAATCATCCTAGAGAGGAAGTGGAGAGCGTGAGAGATGGTTTGTAACTAGTGCCGGGAGTTCCCCATCCCAGGCCAGGTTCTCACCGCACGGGGACACGTGTGTAGCCCTCCCCACACACCGAGGGCTGTGTACACTGCCCCCCCACCACACAGCATGAGGGATGATGCCAGGCTGTGCTGCCCACCATGCCCTGCCTGTCCCCTAGTCCCACTGAATGCCCCCCTTGTGAAGGGTCCAAACGCAGCCAGCAGGGCGAGGTGGGCTAGCAGGAAGCGAGGACCCAAGAGTCTCGGGCTCCAGGGGGATGCTGCAGCCTCTAGATTCAGGGCCACTCCCTGCTGGCCAGAGAACAGCACCTGGCATCCCCTGATGTGGCAGGTCCCGTGCGACTAACCCGACACCCAAGGGGCAATTCCCCGTGCCCTCTGGAGCACCCAAATGCCCCTTGTCCCCAGACTGGCAGGGTCTGGCCTGGTCTGGCTCAGAAACCACAGCTACTCACTTCGACTGCTGATTGCTGAAGCCCGGGTGCTGGGTGTAGACATGGGCGTGGGCGCTGGGGGCGGACTTGAACGCCATGGGGCAGATGGGGCACTTGTGGAAGACTTCGCAGTGCGAGGTCTGGATGTGGGACTTGATGGAGTTCACGCCACCGAACACCACGGCACAGCTGGGGCACCTGTGGCGAGAGGAGGGTGAGAGCCATGCTGCTGGACTCCCCTGCCCACAGCAGGCCCTGCATGCCCAAGGTGCCACATGGAGACCTGAGGTCCTCTGCTGCAGCTCTGGGCAGGGAATACAAGCCAGCTCCCCCCAGGTTGCTCAATGCCCCCCACATCCCCAGACTGCCTGTTAGACTGATCCACTGCCTCCTTGCTAAGGGCATCAGACCACGGGCTGGGCACGAGGAACAGCAACAGCACGTGCCAGCCTGCAGGGCCGTGGAGAGCCTCAATAGCCCTGCTACTCCTGATCCAGAGGCCTTTATACCCTGGGGCAGGGACCTGGAGAGCATGTGGCAACTCCAGCTCACTGCCTGCAGACGCTGGAGGGCCCCATGGGCCCAGCTCCTCATACAGGAGGGGGTGCGGTGGGGTTTCATGCAGAGCTGCAAGCCATGGCAGCTCCAAGGTAAGGGGCTGGGTGAGGGAAGGTGTTCCCAGCAGGGTCGGGGGAAAGGAAAATGCCTTCCTCCCTGGCCCTCCTTGTGGACACATCTCGCAGGGACCTGGGGCCGCGCTGCACCTGTGCCAGGAAGATGAGGGGAGCTGGATACCCCAGATCCCACCCAAGCATAGCGTGACCTACCTGTAGCCCACCCTCCTGGAGAAGTGCAGGCAGGCTTCTTTGAGGTGCGCCTCGAAGTTGGCCAGCAGGAAGTTCCCACCGCACTCCGGGCACACGTGCGGCGGCCGGTTCTTGTGCATCCGCTGGTGGGCGCTGAAGCTGCAGCGGTTGGGCATGATCATGGGGCACGTCGGGCACACCTGCAGGGTCAAGGACAGGCACAGGGCCATCAGCCAGAGCCCCCAAGGCCCCTCCAGACTCCATGAGGGACAAATGCTGGGCACAGGCCCTTTCCCACAACCTTGGACACCTGTTAACATAAGAATGGCCACTGAGTGGGTCAGACCCTAGGGCCATCCTGCCCAGTTTCCAGTGTCACACGGGGGCACTGAGGAGGTGCTGAAAGGGAGAGTGACTGGGTCTGACCTGGGTTTGTTCCATGCTGCCTCTCCCTTACAGCCCCCAGCATTTAAATTCCAGGACGCTCCGATTCAGCTCAATAGCTACTGGTGCCCCTTTCCTCCAACACCAGGTCCAGTCCCTTTGTGAATCTGGTTAAACTCTCAGCTTTCCCCATATCTGGTGGGAACGAGTCTCATGCTTGAATCCCACCCAGGGTGAGAGAGAACTGCCTGGTGTTTGTTTTAAATCTATGACCTACCAGCTTCATATTGTGACCTCCAGCTTTTGCATGGGGAGAGTCGATACTAAATCCCTATGACCTTTGCTTCTCCATTTGTAAACCTCTCTCCTTAAGCATCTCTCTTCTAAAGTGACCAGAGCCTCTCTCCTCCTAGGAAAGCCCCTCTGCAAAACTCATCATCCTTGTTGCCCTTCTCTGGTTCTTCTACATCCTTCTTGGGGCGCGAGGACCAGAACTGGGCACAGGATTCAAGGTGTGGGTGCCCCATGGGTTTATAATGGATACTTTATACTACTTTCAGTTTTGTTCCCAACTCCCTTCTTAATCCTCCCCAACGTGTTGCTGCCTTTTTGACAGCTGCACACAGAGGAAAGCATCAGAAGAGGAATGGGGCTGAGAAGCCCATCTGCAGTGGGCAGGCCAGGAGAGAAAGGAACTGAGCCTCTGGCCAAGCCAGTCCCTGTGGCAGAGCTCACAGGGGAGATATCACTGGCCATCAGGGTTGTATCAATCTTGCGGTCAGAGGTAAAGGTGTGGGCACCTGCAGGGAACTGACAAAAGAAATCACACCCACTGGCTGCACTAGGAGCCAAGCCTGGCTTGAAAGTCCCCACCAGGAGGTGCCCAACCCCGTCATGGATGTGGCCCCAGGTAACAGGCGATGAAGTACTTCGAGGTGAGCTGGAGTTGCTGCCTCATAAGGCTGGAGAGCACCTGTCCTTGAAACCAGCTCCCAAATCCCTTGAACAGGAGCAGGGAGGAAAAACTGCACAGGGAAGAGAAGCTGAGGCCTAAGAGGTGGATGTGTGGAGCTGAAGGACTCAGGCCAGGGGTTGCAGAAGGACCAAAACTACAGACTGAAAAAAGGGGTAGGGAAAAAAAAAAAGAGATGTGGGACCCAGCCTGTGTGCACTGAACTGGAGCCTGGAGCGAGCTGGGAGGCAGCTCAGGTCTCTGTATCCATCTCACCCCTCCTTTATCCTAAGTACTACCCTGATGCATCTGGGAGGAACACATTCCTTGGAAGATGGCCAGGCCTCCGAGCCAGCCCTACCTCTGGGTCCACAAGCCACCCTCAGCCCCAGCTTAGGCACGATGAGGAGCAAAGACACCTGCTACTCGAACCTCAGGTGGATGCCAACACAGCTCAGGTGCCAGGTGGGTAAAACGCTCCCTGGGGGAGGGGAGGCTGGACCCCACAACTCCACGGTCCAGGAACCCCAGGCCCGCACCATGGACCCTCCTCAAACACACAGGGTTTCCAGACAGCTCAAGCAAGCCCGTGGGCATCGCAGCAACCAGCTTCCACTGGGGCCAAGTGACTGAGGTGCCTTGCTGCAGCTCCAGAGAAGTGAGAGAGGCCTGGCAGATCGCTGACCTGGAGCTCAGCCTTCTCTGTGCAACCCCAAGGCTTCAGCACCATTGCAGCAAGGGGGAGCAGGGCAGTCCTTCACCCGGAGGAACTAGTGGTTCCGGGTAGGAAGCGACATGGAAAGGACACAGACGCTTGCCTGCCTGGGCCCAACTCCCGAGATTACGCCGTTTTGGGGGCTCCTTGATCCACCGCCCTGGAAGCGGTCTCGATTCAGATCTGCCAGCAGCGGTGGTGGCTGCACATCCTGGTTCATTAAACAGCCAGCAGGAAGCGAGTGGACAGACCTTCCCAGCAGGGCCAACGCAGCCCACAGTCTTCATCAACGTGGCAGGAGAAGAGGCCTGCACGGGCTCCTGGCATCCTCACAGGTCTGGGCTCCAGAAGCCCCCAGACCCGAATCCTTCCTCAGACATCAGCACAGGCTACAACCCGGTGCCTGAGCAGCCGCTACTGACCTCCAGTGCAGACAGTCCTCCAGTGCCATCCCACAACCCCCAGGGCCAAGATGCACTTACTAGCCTACCAGGTGCACCTTCTTCCCCCCCACCCCCCTGAATTAGCCATCCCAAATTGAGGGGTGTGTTTTCAGTGAGGAAGCTGACTTCTGAAGGGATGCATGGGGATGCTGGGATGGATCCCTCCCATCCACATGGAAGAGAGGCAGTTTTGGCTGAGCAGCAAGGGAGGGGTGAATGATGCCGATGAGCAGACACTGCCCTTACTCCATGCAGCCAGATTCAGCCACAACTCGGCAAAAAAAGCTTCTGGTCTTCATTCTGCCCCCCCCCCAAGCAAGGTGCAGGGCTTCTTTGTGGGTGTGTGGTATGTCAGAAAATATAGTATTCAGTCTCCCAGTTCACAGAAAAATGGGGCTGGACGGGACCTCTGGGGGTCGCACCTAGTCTAACCTCCAGCTTGGAGACATCATCAGTCCCATCCAAGCCAGCCCAGACAAATCCAGCATCTAAACTCTGCGCGTCAGGGTTAATGGTAGTTTTACAAGACGTCATACCTGAATCTGCCCCAGGGAAGCAGGGGGACTGTGGCAGCCAACGTCCTACTGTTGCAAAAGGTTGTTGATGCACAGGAGATCCCAGACAGAGGCTGTGCCCCTGCCACGGAGGAAGGCAACCCCCTCCCCCCAGTCCATACCAATCTGACCAGGGAAAAAATTCCTTCCTGACCCCAAACAGGTTGATCAGTCTGACCCTAAGCAGAGGGGCAAGATCCTCTAGCCAAGACCCTCCAGGTCTGAGTCCCAGCAGCAGCACTGGCACAGCCCAGTCCCCATCCCCAGCCTGGGCTGCAGCCAACACCCAATGCCTCTGGGGGAGGCTTAAACACACTCTGACCCTTACTCCTCTTCAGGACCCAGCTTTCCTGCAGCATAGGTTGCCCCTGGCAAAGAGGCATTTTGGACTGACAGCTGGGTGACAGTCAGGCAGCAGGCCCTAGGGCACCACTATACACTGCATGCACCTAGCTTCACTCGCACCCCAAACTGCAAGGAGCCTCTGGGGGATTTGGATCCAGTGGGGGTGGAGGTTCATATAGCTGTTGTTCACACACAGACATACATGACCATCAGAGCTCTGTCACGGGGAATTGGATAGCAGATCCCACTCCCCCAATTCTTGGCTCATCTTGAAGCCCCAGAGGCCTAGGGAAACCTTGCTACAGGCCAGATGTTTGAAACCCCTGGAGGTGATGCATAAGAAGAGGGGAAGGGACTGGCCCCAGCATCACACAATACCCCCACAGCCTGGAGAAAAAGCTATGTTGCCCCATCCCTACACCCCCACCAGGTCATTGCACCTTCCTCCACAAAATGGCTGGCCAGACTCCGCTTACCGTACTGCTGGCAGTGCCGGCAGCCCCGGCTGGCTGGAAGGGTGCTGCCAGCCCGGCCTTGTCCTTGCACTGCTCCTTGCACTCCAGACACCGGAAGCAGCTGTAGCTCGTTTGCTCTGAGCTGCTGCTCAGGGGCAAGATGGGCAGGTCCTGAGCCCCATTGGCCACGGCCACAGCCTCCTGAGCCACCCCGGCCACTTTGCCTGCTGGGAGGGAAGTCACCGAGACCAGGGGGGTGATGTCGGGCTGGCCAATCATCTGATCCAAGGCGATGGGCCTCATGACCAAGTGCGAGCACTGCATCACGAGTCCCTTGTCCTTGTGCTCCCGGGCATGGAGGAGCAAGCTGCACTTGTTGAAGAAGACCAAGCGCTTGGTGCAGTGGTTACAGGTCACCTCGATGCGCATGCTGCGCCGGTCGTAGTGCCGCGCCAGGCTCTTCTCCAGGGCAAAGGCGTCCCCACACTCCAGGCAGCGGTAACCAAAGGGCGGCAGAGTCAGGCTGGAGTCTGCCGGAGGGTTCAGGTTGGGCTTGTAGGTGGGTAAGAGGTTCTTGCTGTTCAGGATCTTGTTGAAGGCTTCCACCAGGCTGGACTGACTCCTGGAGATGACTGTGCCAGCGAGGGTCGGAGAAGGCTTCTGTGGCTGTACCATCACCACCGTGGTGCCATTGACCTTCTGGTTGGCCGTGGTAGTGATGGTGGTGGTCTGGGTCACTGTGCTGATGTTGGACCTTGTGTCCGCCTTGGGGAGGGCCTGAGGCACCAGGTTGATGATGTTCTTGGCCACGGCCTTGCCCGTCTTTGCCGGGAGCACCACAGATTTCTGCTGGGCTACACTGGCGGCGATCAGCATGGCACTGCTGGCATTCTGAATGGTGGAGACGGGCAAGACTGTGCCCTTGATTTTGGTGCCATCGCCCAGCTGGACACTGACAATTTTGGGCCCTTCAATGGTTTTCAAGGGGCTGGAGAGCTCCAGCTTCTCCTTTGGCACCTCCAGTGCCCCCTCCTCTTTGTCAGCCGAGGCAGGGAACACAGTGCCTTCGCTGCCAGCCTCCTGGGAACCCTGCTCTTCGGACAGCTTGACTACTCCGGGCTCTGAATCCGAGGGAATCCTGGTGACCGTCCGCGTGATGCTGCCCGAGGATGTCTTGATGGTTTTGATGCGTACTTTGAGGGGCCGTGAGGAGTTGGAGGACGGGGAATCTGTGTTGTTGTCTTCCATGTCCTCATCAGCACTGGAAATGCTCCGTGGACTTCCCATGGGCTTCTCTAGCATCTCCGGCTCCTCCTTGATAGAGCAGCTGCCCAGCAGCTTGGGAGATGCGGGAGGCTGTGGGCTCTCAGCAGCCGGGGGGGAAGGCTTGAAGAAAGGCTCTGGGGGGCTGGCGGGGGAGTGCTTCACTTCGGGGATGTTGCTGGCACTGCTGTCGAGGTTCTGCTCCGAGCTGGGCCAGGACGCGATGGGGGAATCATCCGTGGAGTAGCGAACTGTGACAGACTTGAGGTGATCCAAAGGGCTGTCACCCAATGCTGCAGCCAAGCCCTTGGGGCTGGTGTCCTGGGCAGCCTCCTCTGAGTCCGACTCCTCTTTCTTAATGCAGGGGAGGGCAGAGGGGGAACTGTTCACACCCCTGGGCTGGCTGGGATCAAAGGGCTGGGGGAAGGCTGGCGGGAGGCTCTCAGTGCCCTCTCTCATGGGTTCTTTGCAGTCCAGTGATGGTGTCGGAGATGGGGTGGGTGATGGAGAAAGGGAGGGCACGGAGAGGGACTTCTCCTTCGGCTTACACTCGCGGGGCCTGTCGATTAGGTCTGACGCTGCGTTGTCATCGCTGGGATCGGGGCTGAAGTGGGAGAAGATGTCCAGGGGCTTGGCCCCTTTCTCCTTCACCCAACACTCCCCATTGGAGGAGGCCACGGTCTCCACCGCCCTGGGTGTGGGGGACCTGGGCATCTCAGGGGCCCCAAAGCCATTCTGCAGCAGGCGGGGCCCGATGATGTGTCCATCCTTGCTGCGCCCATCCAGGGTGTCGAGCTGCTCGGGACAGACAGTGTTCTTCACGATCACGCTGACCGCAGTGATGTCCGCATGGGGCAGGACATGGTCAGGGGGGCCGGGCTCCCCAGGCACCTGCTTGATGTGACCATCTGTGTCCTCATGGCCAGAATGAATGGCCTCATTGGTGTCAATATCAGGGATGTCGAAGGCTGCCAAGAGGTCGTCGAAATCCGGCGTCTTCATGTCACCCATGGTGGGGAATGCGGCAAGTCTGGAAGAAAAGGGGAGAGACATTTAGGGCCACGGCCTCAGGGTGGGGACCAAGGAGGACTGGTCTCAGCAAAGCACCAGAAGACAGGAGCTCCCACATGGTAACCCCAGCTTCCTCCTCCTACTTGGGGGCCCATCTGAAGCCCTGCTATCACAGCAGGGTGGAGCCATTAATCCCAGCGTAGAGGTGCAGAACCAGCCACAAAGAGACCAAATCACCAACCCAAAGTCAGATGTGGAGCCTGCAGCAAAGCCAGATTTTGGCCTGCTTCTCCCAAGCCCCAGGTTAACCCTAACCACTAGGCCACCCTCCTCTCTCTCACAGCTCCCACCCCCATGCCCTCTTTTTTCACCGCTCTGTTTCCTTCTTCCATATCTCCTGCAACAGGCAGATAAAGTGCCCCCTGCCCTGAACAGTGAAGGTTTGTTAGCGCTTGTACAGATAGCAGAGGATAATTAATATATCTACAAAGCACACAGAGCTGAGCGTGTGTCCGAGATAAAGCGTGGAGGTGAACTTAGCTCAGACCCCCCTACAGTACCACTATTCTCACATCTGAGCTATTAGCTGGGCTTGCTCCTCTGAGGCCGAGCTCTGTGGGCCCGGCCCTGATAAATAGGATCTCAGAGAAACACTGAGGATGAAAATAAAGGGAGATGTTTTCCTTCAACCAAAAGGCAGCTTTGATGGGAAAACTTTTGCTGGTGCCACGGCCCATAATGAACACGAGCTTGCTTCTCTTCGGCACAAAGGAGCCATGCTGACACGGGGCCGAAGCAGATTTGTTCCGACCGAATTAACAGCATTGCACCTCCTCGTGCTGGATCTGAAATGTGGGTCACCGTTCAGAGACCAGCAGAAATCACCGGTGATCAAAGAGAACCCAATTTTCATTCCAGAGAGTCCGGTGCCTGAACCGCATCGGCATGAGCCAGCTCACCTATGGGCACATGGGGCGATTAAGGCACATCCAGCCCACTCCACTGCCTAAAAGCCATAGAAATATGTATGATGGATTTTGCAAAAAGAGCAGAGCCTGGAGAATGCCAGAACAGCTTTAAAAAAAACCCCATAATTTATATGAGTGTACACACACACACACGCACCCACCCCCCCGATGCATCATTGATTTCTTGGCACAAGTGATAACACAACAGGGACAGGAGTGGAAGTTGAAGGTTTAAAACATGGACAGCACCCACTGGCCCTCAAATGAGTCCAAGGAGAGAGTGGCCACTGCCCAGCGAAGCTCTGCCCAAATGGGACTGGACCAGGGACAGGAAAGCAGCTCTCGGGAGTCTTTGCAGGCAGCGCCCCCTTCCTGGTCAGGTATATGGGCCAGCTGAGGAGGTTGACCTGGAAGTCCCAGGGACTGTGAATGAGAAATGCATACATGCAAAGGTGTGGGAAGATGTGCAGCCAGGACCTCAGTAGGCAGTTCTGGAGGAGGCGGTGAAGGGAGGCTGTAGCCTCGTGCACTCCCGGTAGGTGTGTGCTGGGGTCTCTCTCTCCCCTCGCAGAAGGGGCAGGTGTGGGGGGGGGTGTCCATAAACCACACCAAATACACCCCCATGGCAACAGCTCCATGGAGCAGCCGCCACCCAAGGGGCTCACGGGATCAAGGTGAAATACAGACTTGTTCATCAGGGACCTTTGTCCTCGCCACATGTGTCCCGCAACTTGGGTATCTGGGTGAGACGTGGGGATGGGCTGGCAGAGGGTCTGGACTAAAAAGTGTGTAGAGGGAAGCAGACCGACTTGGTATCCTCCCTGCGTGACGCAGGAGGCTGGGCAGGAGGGACCTATGGATTGACTCAGTAAATGCCAGTTCTTATGTTCTTGTGGCTGCCCCAGCCCTTGCCCCGACTCTGCCACCAAACACCAGTGGGCATCTCTACAAAATTCCCCATCTCCTATAATGTACCAATGGTTTCACTGTGCTAATATACTGCAGCCAGAGTCCCTGCTCCTTTATAGGTGAGCAAGCTCTGGTCTGAATACCCAGACTGGGTTTACGGGCGGAGGAAGGACATCAGGACACGCTCTCAGATGTCCCCATCGTGTGTGCTGCTAAAACTCCAGGTCCGACCGGACATGCTCACGTGCTCTCTAGCCACAGAGAAGCAAAAGCCCATTTGTGGCAGAGTGAATCACCCAGGGCCCCCGACTTGCAAAACTCACTAAGGAAAAGCTTCCAAACATCGGCATGAGCCAGCTCACCTATGGGCACATGGGGCGATTAAGGCACATCCAGCCCACTCCACTGCCTAAAAGCCATAGAAATATGTATGATGGATTTTGCAAAAAGAGCAGAGCCTGGAGAATGCCAGAACAGCTTTAAAAAAAACCCCATAATTTATATGAGTGTACACACACACACACGCACCCACCCCCCCGATGCATCATTGATTTCTTGGCACAAGTGATAACACAACAGGGACAGGAGTGGAAGTTGAAGGTTTAAAACATGGACAGCACCCACTGGCCCTCAAATGAGTCCAAGGAGAGAGTGGCCACTGCCCAGCGAAGCTCTGCCCAAATGGGACTGGACCAGGGACAGGAAAGCAGCTCTCGGGAGTCTTTGCAGGCAGCGCCCCCTTCCTGGTCAGGTATATGGGCCAGCTGAGGAGGTTGACCTGGAAGTCCCAGGGACTGTGAATGAGAAATGCATACATGCAAAGGTGTGGGAAGATGTGCAGCCAGGACCTCAGTAGGCAGTTCTGGAGGAGGCGGTGAAGGGAGGCTGTAGCCTCGTGCACTCCCGGTAGGTGTGTGCTGGGGTCTCTCTCTCCCCTCGCAGAAGGGGCAGGTGTGGGGGGGGGTGTCCATAAACCACACCAAATACACACCCATGGCAACAGCTCCATGGAGCAGCCGCCACCCAAGGGGCTCACGGGATCAAGGTGAAATACAGACTTGTTCATCAGGGACCTTTGTCCTCGCCACATGTGTCCCGCAACTTGGGTATCTGGGTGAGACGTGGGGATGGGCTGGCAGAGGGTCTGGACTAAAAAGTGTGTAGAGGGAAGCAGACCGACTTGGTATCCTCCCTGCGTGACGCAGGAGGCTGGGCAGGAGGGACCTATGGATTGACTCAGTAAATGCCAGTTCTTATGTTCTTGTGGCTGCCCCAGCCCTTGCCCCGACTCTGCCACCAAACACCAGTGGGCATCTCTACAAAATTCCCCATCTCCTATAATGTACCAATGGTTTCACTGTGCTAATATACTGCAGCCAGAGTCCCTGCTCCTTTATAGGTGAGCAAGCTCTGGTCTGAATACCCAGACTGGGTTTACGGGCGGAGGAAGGACATCAGGACACGCTCTCAGATGTCCCCATCGTGTGTGCTGCTAAAACTCCAGGTCCGACCGGACATGCTCACGTGCTCTCTAGCCACAGAGAAGCAAAAGCCCATTTGTGGCAGAGTGAATCACCCAGGGCCCCCGACTTGCAAAACTCACTAAGGAAAAGCTTCCAAAATAAGCAAAAGGCAGCGTGTTTGCGCAGGAGACAGTCATACAATACGATGTACAAAACTAAACACACGCCGTTGCCCGAGCGGGGTGTTGCTGCGGTTGCACCGCAAGCCAGCTGTGGGATGGGGCTGCGCTAGCAACAGTGGCAGCAGATGTTGGGATTCCCAGCCATGAAGGAGGGTAACCCTTGGTAAGTCCCTTAACCAGGAGGATGATCTTTTATGGAGAAATCATGGAGCTGTCGAGGAGGCAGGGCCCTCGGCTCCAGGCAGCAACAGCCCGTCTGAACCACCATTATCAACCTATGAAAATATCATGAACAACCCTCCTCAAACCATCAGGCATAATGCCCTAAACGCCAAACCACACCAGCGTGCCCAGGGAGATGTGGGAACCATCAGGGTCCTGCCACTGTTGAAGATATGCTCAAGGCTTCAAGGAGGACTGTGTCGTGGTCCTTTGGACCACTTCTCCTGCACCAATGCAAGGAGGTTTAGCATGGTAAAGGGCAGCTGTGGATGCAGCTGGACAGACTCCCAGCATGTTAAAGGACCTAGTTCAGAATGATTTTGGCACTGCAGAAGCTAAGCAGTTTTAGGCAGCCAGCCAGCCCTTACCGGGAAACCAGATTGACAAGCGATTCTTCTCCTCTATTCAGCACTGGAGAGGCCACATCTGGAGTCCTGTGTCCAGTTATGGGCCACCCAGTACAGAAAGGATGTGGACAAATTGGAGAGTCCAGCGGAGGGCAAAAAAAATGGTTTGGGGGCTGGGGGACAGGACTTGGGAGGAGAGGCTGAGGGAACTGGGTGTATTTAGTCTGGAAAAGAGAAGGAGGAGAGGATTTAATAGCAGCCTTCAGCTCCCTGCAGGGGGTTGCAAAGAGGATGCGGCTGGGCTGTTCTTAGTGGTGGCAGATGCCAGAACAAGGAGCGATGAGCTCCGGTTGCAGCAAGGGGAGTTGAGGTTGGATATTAGGAAAAACACTCACCAGGAGGGTAGTAAAGCTCTGGAACAGGCTACCCAGAAAGGTGGTGGAGTCTCCATCCTGGGAGGTGTTTAAGCCCTGGCTGGACAAAGCCTTGGCTAGGATGATCTAGTTGGGGCTGGTCCACCACCAGACCATCAGGCAAAGTGGAGTGGCTTCCCATTCCCAGGGCTCTCCAGACTGCTCGGGCATGGCAGACACTCCCTCAGAAGACATTTTGGGGAAGGCAGTCTGAACGGGAATAGAGATCAAGGAGCCAAACTTTACAGAACAAGAAAGCTGAGCAGAACACAGTGGATTCAGCCAAAGGAGGAAACGTTTAAGCCAAAGAGTAGAGCTATCTTCCAGGCAACAAGACCTAGTCATGTCCCAAAGGCCCCATGGACAAGACGACTTGACAAAGTCACTAGAGGATGCCCTGCGGGACAGCTCCTCCAGGAGGGTGGAAGAGACAGGATGCCATTAGCAGCATGAATGTCTCCTCTCTACAACCCAGTCCTTAAGCAGTTTTGGCTGGGCACAGGCAGACCTGGCTG